ATATTTTTACGAGTTTAGGTTACTACATGTATCATTATTATTATATTCTCCATTAAATATATCTCCCATTTAATATACCCCCTTTGCACCAAATCCCCAATAAAAATACCCTTTCTCCTAATAATATACCCACCGGATATAAATCTATGTAAGAGACTCAGGATAGTTTGCACGGCGTTTTACGGTATTGGCAAATCGAGGAAATAATTTCTTAACGATGAAAAAATACATGTAGCTGCTTGCTTTATTTAGAAACAATTTAACTGCTAAACTAAAAATATACAAATCATTGTTATAAGTGAAACATAAATTTGCCGCCTCCGCCACTAATAAAAGCAGCGTTTTGATCCTTGATGAAACGTTCGAGTATATACCTAAAGATTTGATAAAAAAGTGATAGCAGAGTGGACTTTGTAAATCTGAAAGATGTTTGCTCTATATCGAAAAATAAACTCTGTAGTAAATATTTTATTGAAGGCAATTTAATATTTCTGACCGTGGACAATTCTTTAATTGCGAGATATTTGAAACACATACATGTGGAATCGGCGTGAAGTTGAAACAGATTAATGTAATCATTTTTGATTGTTCTAAATTTTTATTTTGTTGGAAAATAATATCATTATAATAAAAAGAATAGCAAATGATTAATCAAATAATTAAATGCCTATCTGTGAAAGCAAATTTGAGATTGTTGTTATAAATTATTTGTCTAGCTATATTACTGTCAACACTTTCCATATTTATGACATCGCAACAAGATTTACTATTAATAAACGTACTACAGATGTGGCACTCATATTGTTATTCGGTAGAATTGATAGGCATTAAATTTTCTAAGTCAAGCTCTACAGTTCTTCTAAAGCAGTGTTATTGCTGGAAGTTACCGGAAATCCACTGGAAGACCACTGGAAGTAAAATTAATATGGACTGGGGGCTTTGGAAGGAGTTTCCATTATTAAAAGTATATTGATTTATTATTCTTATACTATATTGTCCAATTAATTCCAAGAAATTTTCAATTTTGACTCTCACAGGTTAAATTTTAAGTTCAAAATATTTGATCTTGTTAACCAAAATCCTAATATGATATTATAAGCTTGTATGCATTTAAACTGATCCTGATTTTATTAATGTTTTTCTTTTACATCAATATATTCTTGAATTATAAAATAATTTCTCGTTTCACCAGGATGTAAATTTTAATCACTTCACATTCATAAAGTTAGCTACATCAATTCTTCGCACGTGAAAGTCCGCCTCGTTAATTTTCTATATAGTCATTGTTTTTAGTATTAATTAATCAGTAGGGGAATATTTTCTGTTGTTTCAATGTCGATGTTAGATAATTGTTGTTGATATGAAGAGTCACGATTTCACATATAAAAAAGTTAATAGTGAAAATCCACATTTTTATGTCTTATTTATTTTTAATATTGGGTCAGCAGAAAACGAATATTACGACTTTCTGTTGCAAACAAATGATTTATATTAATAAAATATTAATAAAATTTACCGAAGTATTTACAGAAAATATTTTTACAAATATAATTGAAAAGTTATCTGATAATATTCCGTTTATATTGATAAAATATTAATAAAATTTACTCTAATTGGAGTATTTTCGGATAACGTTTTACAAATTAATTGAAAAGTACCCGATACATGTGGTATTCCGACAATTTACGATAGAATTCTGAAGTTCATTTCGAAAATGATCATTGAATCGATAACGATAATGAAAATCGTAACGTTTTCGGAATACATAAACCAGATCAAAACTGGATTAACATTCATTTAAAGTTTAATCGTGTCAATGCAATACACGTACAGTATATCTGTTTGTCGTAAGAGATTCTTTGTTCTAACGGCGGCGGTAGCTAATTAAGATTTGATTAAATAAATATATTATTTAAACGCACAAATAATGTTTGACCGTCTTTTCACGACAACGAAACAAAAAATGTCATCAACTTCTTCGTATACAGCAATAGACTGGTTGGAAGATGCTATTTCAAATGAACAAATAAAATTTTTTAAATTTAATG